CCAGATCTTCATGTCAGCTAAAGATCATAGGTCTATAGCTTGCTACTCAGACAAAGTTGAGTTCTTTGAGAACTGGTTTTGGAAGCAGGGACAAACACCTCATCTGGAAGCCAGAGAGGTCACTGATGTGCTAAAAGCCTTCAAAAAAAGCATAAAATTGCTAGACCTTTTTTCTTAGGGAGGCATTTCAAATGAGCTTTGGTTTAGGGACACCATGAATTCCAGAATAATGCATTCAGTAGTTGTGGATATGATTGCTATAATAACCCTACACACTAAATAAATGCAATATTTGTTCATGTATTTGAAAGGAAGCAGATTCAGACTCTGTCCAAGCTGCGAGATAACTGAACATCAGTCAGCCCTGACCCAGAACCCTCAGGGCTGCAATAGCCAGGTGTCCACAGCCACTCCAGCAATCTCTGGCACAGAGCCTGCTCAGACAGCAAGATGATTTCTAGCACAGGGCTGGCTTGCAACCAGCCGCATCAGGACCAAGCAAAGTGAGCTTGGTCTGTCTGCACTCACCTGTTTCTAGAAACCATATCCTGCTTTATAAATATTGTATTGGACTATTAACACAGACAATTTTTATATTTTTTTTTTTCACACAGCCATACCAAGTGCTTATCATGATCTGGTGCTTGATTTGCTTTTCATGACCTCAGTTGCTTATTTACCACCCCAACCAAGAAAAGCAGGGCAGTCCATTCCTTTCTCTTTATCTGAACAAACTTCTTGCCAGTTTTCATTTCAGTTCTGCTGGTCCAGCCCAAAGTTACACAAACACTGCAGAAGAATGTTTATTTGTGCTAGGATATATTTCTATTCAAAAGTGGAAACCAGATATAAACTATATCTATCCATCACTAAGACTTCAGTAAGTGTAGTTTTATAAAATTCTCGATTTTGTGTCAGATGTCTACATTTCGCTTCCATGCTTGTGCATACATATTATTGATATAAGATGCTATAACAAATACCTATAAAACAAATTGTGTATTTATGCATTGTTTTTTTGGTTTTTTTTTTTAAAGTCTATTATGTAGCCTGTGCTCCTTGTCAAGTTTGACTCATGTAAATGCTTCCAGAAAGAATGTGCTTTGTCAGCAGTGCCAGCAGCTCTGAACTTACTGAACTTCCTGCAAACTCCTTCTGTGGGTGAAGCAGTGGGACAGGGTGGGCTCCCTGCTTCATGAGGGAGGCATGCAGCAAACATTACAGACCAACTGGCATTGAACCTGTACCTCTCTTTAATTACCCAAGATGTCGGAGACCTATTAGATGAAACATTTAAGCCCAAAGTCCTCTCTCCTTCTTGTTCCATGGCAGTTTAATTAAAAACTGGTATTTTCTTTTACATTTCTCCAACATCTCCAGCTGTTTTTCACAGTGTCCTAATGTCTCTACCAGGCAAGAGCTGCATTTCAGGGGTGGTTACTCCGTGTGTGCACACCAGGCATTAGAAATGTTTCAAGGTACCCATGTCTGAGCTAGTGGATGTGAACACACAGCTTTTTAAAATCTCCTTCGTAACATGACTGCACTTTGCAACCCATCCCAGTCCCAGTGCTACCCTTAGCTTTGTTTCTTTATTTAGCAGTAATATTTAAAGCACATTTTTGGCCTATAGGCCATACAGAGAAAACAAGGAGGAGTATCCCTTCCAGATTATATTTCAGCATTCATACCTCTAAAGATAAATTATTAATGTTCAAACAGGTCATACTTTGCACTAACTTGCTCTGTACACCACCTGATTTCCTGCAGATCTGTCTCCTACCTCTTTAGCTTGCCCCACCACAGAAATCACACATCAGTTCCCATGTCTCCATGACCTCCAGTTTCTCTGAGCACCTGCACTTTTGCCCTTACTCTCACCTTTGTGAGTTCTCCCAGCTCTCTCCTCTGCTTCCGTCTTCCTCCTCATCATTTTTTTCTGAACTACTTGCAGCTCTTTTTCTACTTTTTTTTTTTTTTTTTTTTTAGGTTCTCTAATATTTCCTTTCACATGCCTACCTCTGTTTCCCTCAAGCATATGTCATGCATAAGCTTAATAGTTTCCCCTCCCTAACACTGGAAGCAAGGAGCAGCAGCAGAGCTCTGGCTGTGTTTCCCCCAGCAAGAGCAGGAATATATGGGTGAGTACCCAGCAACCAACTGCCAGAGTTTTCCAAAGTTAATGCCATTGCTGTTTCACATGTGGATAAAATGGGTTCATATATGCCAAAAACAGGATAACAGAGTGAAAGACAGACAGAAAACTATGTTAAAATAAATGCTTAAAATCCCTACATCCATTAAATGTTATCTCATTTTCAAAAAAGATTTAGATTAAAACTAATGAACATTTTTTTAAAGGTGGAGTGCTGCCTATACCAAGGTCTGAAGTCTGAACTTTAGTATCCATTTGTTTTAAAATGAGCCATAATATTTCCCTTTCTATCAGATTTTCTCCCTCTCCTTCCTCTCTCTCCAGCACTCTCCGCACAAACCCTTTGTAAAAATCCCCATGGGGACTCCACCACCTTCTCACCACCACATCAGAAATAAAGGAATATAAGAATTAGCATAAATGTGGTCTCCTACACCACCACGCTGCTTAGTACCCCTTTTAGAGCACTCCCAGATGAAGATGGCTGGAAACAGATGGCTGAGGGAACAGAAAAAAGCCCACTCAAAGAAAAGATCACCTTTATCAAACCACAGAAATACACAGTATGTTTTTTCTTCCATGAACTTCTCACCCCTTCCACCAGAAAAAAAAAATAAAAATCTAGTTTTCATCCCGATTGACCCACAATACAGCCAATCTTGAGAGAAGATACCCACAGCATATAAGGGAATGTATTTCGTCCAGATTTAGATCAATTTAAAGATGCTGCACACAAGTGTGTACGGCACGGTTTGAGTGAAGAAAATATGAAATGTGCTGATAATGTAAGTCATTGAAGTTGGGTAATTTTGCCTTAGCCCCAACACAGCAGTGTCACAGTAGTGCCAGGATGCACATAAAGATGTAAGAAACCCTGTGGGAAGTATGCAGGGCTCATCAAGGAGAAACCAGCCTGAAAGCATGGCCCTGGAAGAGGAATGGCTGCAGGAAGCTGCTCCTGCACCTCGCTTGCTCCCAAGTTACGGGATTTTACTTCACCCACGGAAGCTTGAAAATCTGCAATGATAATGAAAATGTTAATGCAATCTGAGCTACCTCAGTACTAGTGGGGGGAGCTATTAAAATCTCATGAAAAACATAATGAAGCTTTTTTTATTATTATTTTTATGCACTAACCACAGAAGAAGGCAATTTATCAAAACTATTCACTACATCTGACTAATATTTTTGTACATTACAGGAATCCACAACTAACTGATGAATGCTGGTAAGCTGTAAACCATTTCTCTTCTTGTAAATATTGCAAAGTGTTCAACAGTGCTGCTAATACTGCTGCAGTAAAATCTTTAACCAATAAAAAAAAAAAAAAAAAGCAATTCAACATTACAGACATACAGAAAAAAATATTTTTACTATTTTTCACATTTATGTTGCTTTTCTTCCTTTCTCTGGAAAAATGAGAGTCATGCAGCGATGTTGTTATGGGTTGCAATCTGGCAATGTTTAAACAGCATTCATCCTAGTTACAGCTTAAATGGCAGAGCCCTAAAGGAACAGCGAGGTACTGGGGAAGGTTTTCAACTCAGCTAAGGGCACTTTGTCCCTTGAATCAGAACTGAGCCAATGTACCATTAAAATAATAGGCGACACAGAGCTTCTGGTTTAGATAAGCTACAGCTCAGAAAAAATTGATGGGTGCTATTGCTTTTCCAGAGCAGTGGTGATGGGACAGGGAACTGGAAAAACTTTGCAGCTTCTCCTCATTGTGGAGTAGAGAAAATAGATTGCAGTACACAGTGCTGGTGCATAACATGCCTCCCAGGGCTCCTGGTTATGTCCTTGCTATTAAGTATTTTCAGGAAAGAAAGAGGAAATGTTCTGTTTTGCATTATTTTTCACCATAGTGGCTTCTCCTGACCGTTACAGCTACAAACATTACCACGGACAATATGAAACCATGATCCTGACTGGCTATTGGAGGATGTTAGAGACCTTCTGAGTGTTGTGCTATCCAAGTATCTGTGCTGATGCAAACATCTGCCCAATCACATTTTTGCTGAAGATGTGAATTCTGCCATTCAATTAACTTACATTTTGACTCTGCAAAAATTACCCCAACATGAAAGCAATGAGCAATTTTAAATGATGAATACCCAAAGCACAACAGAACAGAAATGAAAATTTACCTGAGAATCATAAAACATTTTAAAAACAGTAATGGATGAGATTCAGCCTTGTAAGGGGGACAGCGCAGGCTGTACATCACTTAAGGCCTACTTAAAGCCTCAAAAATAGGATCTAAGTGAAACTTAGGTGGTGCACAATCCTTGTGCTGACACTGCACAGAGCTGAGTGTCACACATTAAAGACTTAACCCTCAAAGCAAGCATTCCTTTGAGGACCATTAATTTTATTACATCCACAGCTTTTGAAAAAAGGAATGTCTTTTACACAGCTCTTCCACTTTATGAGGAGTCTGGTGGCACGGCCGTCTTCAGACACTTCCACTGCCCACCTTCATGTTCTTCCAACCTATGTCATGACACCCTGTCCTCCCAGCTGCGCTCCTCCAGCTCGCCTGTTAGCAAAAGCATTACCACTGAAGGCATTTTATCATGAAGCCACAGCTTTGTAATTTATCCCACAAGCTGTATAATGCCCAGCTTGCAGTACTGGGTGCACGGTGCAATTGCTTAATGGAGGTTTGCTGCTTTCCAGTTTGACAACTGCTGTTCCTCTTCCCAAGAGAAATTTGCAGGAGAACAACCCAACAAAAAGAATTGAAACAAACCCAGGAACAGTGACAACCATGCCATCTCTGATAAACCAGAAGGGAATAGCATGTGTTAGTCTCTAAAGCATTATATCTATCTCCCCTTTTCAGAGCAAGCTTTGGAAATCACGGGCTTGGAGAATGGGGGCCTCTGCGACATCCGTACCTTGGACTGCACCAGGACCCGGGTATTTGGCTTTGGCTTCACAGATTCCCCCAACCTGCACTGTGAGGTTACCAGGCTAATTGTAAGCATCTTCCCATGGACTCATCAATTACTGGTGCTATGGTCAGACTTTGACATGTTTATATTAAACCCTGAACTGGTGCTGAGTGCCAGTCACTGCCGCAGCAGGGTGTGAATACCTGGAGATCCCATCGCCAATGTGTTTGCCATGAGCTGGGGGGAGATGAAGCAGTTCTGCCCTTTCCAGGACTGATTCCTCGGAAATTCAAAGCTGTGTCTTCCTGTCAATTTGCTCCGTGGGGTTTTGTTTAACTCTTGTTTGGTTCAGCTGCACTGTAGTCCAGTGAAGCTTGAAATCACAATATTATTTCTCATTTTGTGCATCTGCAATGGGTATGCTTGGTTGTTTCCCTAAACTCATCTGAATGCTAAGTGTTGCGGTTAAATACAAGGCTTCCTCAATACAGTTAGAGGTTCCTAAGTGAATTTTCTTATTCATAGTTCAATACCAAGTCAGAAGTTCTAATAACTACTAAACCCATCTCTTCTGTTCATACTATAATTTTGTTATAAACAACTACACACAGGCAATTCTTGGACCGAATTATTTGGAGTATCCACACACACAGACATAAGATGTTGGATTCATCTCATAAATCCACCTCATAAAAGACATTCAGCCAGATTGCCATTCATTACTAACAAGACACAGCTGAGATTTGCCTACCTTGCCCACTTATGACTGTGTAGGCTCTAAACAAGCAGTGATGCTTTATGTGGCCAACCTTGCTAAGTGGCAGACATTACCTGAAGGAGCCAGAAGGTGCACAAGCTGGCTGCAGAGCCCTAGGAGCAAAGACAGTGCTGCTCCAGGACATTCACCTGTCTCGTCCCAGCTGCTCATCCAAAACACAAGCTGCAGTCCTTCCTAAATCAACAGGCCACTTGCATGCATAGAGGAGCATGGCTTGCTTTTTACTGTGGTTACAGGAACATCACTTCTTTTAATAAACCATCTGTAAATTCCTTATATTAATAATTAGAAATATAGACATATGTTGACAACTGGAATTGCTTTATATGAGCCTTCAGTTTCTGCACTCTCCTTCTGTTTTACTGTAGCATCTCAATGGCGAATGGATATCAAGAGAGCAAGAAACAACACGAGCAGATTTTCTCAGCTCTGAGGCTGTTGACTGCCAAATTCCTCTCCTGAACATCACAGAGACAGAGGCTGTGCACTTTGTGGCCGGTGACGAGCCGTTCGCAAGATGGCAAGTGAAAGTAGGAATTTCATATATTTCTAAGAAATGATTTAGAAGAAGGAAATCAGTTGTCTTGGTAAATTAAAATGCAAAGTGCAATTTGCATCCCTTCAGAACCAAAGACGCCTGTAGAAATTCTCACATTAGTATTGAGGGGGGCAGGGGGAACGTCATGACACAACCAAAACAATGGGAGTTAAAAACAGGTGTCTTCGTAAGCAATCCAAAAGTGCAAATTGCAATCACTTCTCCACGTAATCACCTGAGATTGATGCAGTTGTACTAATCAATTGTTAATCATTAGTATTTCATTTCTGGAAACCCAAGCTCAAACTCGTGATTAGGAAGCAAATGCAAGGCAGTTCTGACCCCCAGGTTTCAAAGCAGACACTTGCACAGCACAGGAGTGAGCAGGGATGGGACAGCCATGGACTTGAATTGCAGCCACCAGTACCCACACACGCTGGATCAGCTCTGCTGTAGTTTTAGCCCCTTTTGTTCCCAAGATGTTACTTAAATTATAAACATTTACAGGAAACCAGTGTCTTGTTGACCTTGTACATGCTAACCTTGGTCTTGCGCTCAGTCTGGCTGGTTATTTTCTGCAGACTGGTTGCTTTGCTAAGACTGAGCTCACTTAAATGCACCATAGCTGAGAAAAAATATGTTGCAATTGTAGAAAGACTGCAGATGTGGTTTGAAAATTGCCACATGTAAAAATGAAACACGTGAAACAGTCTCTTCACTGTGTTGTCACTGCCTGTCCTGTGCCTTATAGCTGTCTCTAATGTGGATCAGACTGGGGACACATGTGGCCATGGAGTTAAGGGCAAGGGAAAGATGTTTGCTAGAACATATTTTCTATCCAGTAAGTTATTTTTAAAATGTGGGGATCTGTGATTAAGAGATGTGTGTAAAATTTCTGGATGAACAGAGTCTGACCATCAGCCGGGGCAGATCCTGCACCTTCAGGAGAAGGTGCCATTCAGACTCCGAGGGCAGTTCTTGAGCTTAGGATTCCTAAATTTCTCACAGTGGATGCTGAACTCTCCCAGTTGTGAAATGAAATGTGATGGAAGGACGTGGGATGTAGCCCAGAAGGACTGCTTACATGTTTGCATGGGCATGGGGCCATTCCTGCAGCATAATCAGGTTAGCTGCCATGCACCTCAGACATATCATGATTCAGTTTGCTTTCAATTGCTGCCTTCCATCCATGAGAAGGTCTGTGTCATTTTTCGATTTTTTTCCTCCCAAAATATGTTTTTGCATTTGAGTTCAAGGAAATCTCCATACCTGTGAGCCTGCTGCCCTTTCCCTTTCCTCTGAATCTTGCAGGGAAAAAAACAAAACAAAACCAAAAAAAACAAAACAGCTTCATGGCTAAGCAGTGAGCACACAATTAAATTGCCTCAGCCCGATCCAGCCACTGGCATGCTAATCCCGGCTCTCCTGTGGATCTTTTTGCTGAATAAATTGCGAAGGCAGAGCTCAAAGCTCTGTTTCAAAGGCAGTGAGCCCTATGTGGCAGCACAGAGAACAAAATGATGGAACTTTTCAAGATAAAAAATGATTTGAAATGATTTCCACGAGTACTCAAAATTTTGCACTCCAGAAAATTCCTGGTAAGACTTCAACATTGATCTTCATGGTTATATTAATATATACCTTTTAAAATGGAGATGCAAGCTTTTCCAAAACCCCAAAACAGTTCTTTCTGGAAACACCAGTGCCCAACACTTTCAGAATCTCACCTGCCCTGAAATCAAATTTTAGGGGAATCAGCAAGGTTTCACTTAAGCTTTTTTCATTACCAAGGTTGGGGAAGTGGGTGCCTCCTGAGCTCTTCTCAGGGCCTTTTCCTGTTATCTGTTCCTGTATTCTTGTTTCAGATTTTGCTCTTTTCTTCCATGACATGCTGCTGCATGTTAATAAAGTACACAGGCTACATCAGGGTGTTTGGGATAGTTCATTTAGATATCAAAGTACAAGCTCCATCTACTTGGACAGCAGATGACTTAGGTTGTCCACGCAGATGTCTGGGTGAAGAGGTGGCAGAGCTTGGCAGGCACTTATCTAATTTGGGAAGCAGGTCTCTGGTTTATCTTCAATTTGTTATCATTGCCTGTATATGTCAAAAGTAGCGAAAATATTTGCTTGGAAGTCAGTGAGGCAGGAACTGAATTTGAATTCAGCAAGTCTCACAGCTTTCATTTTTCATTTATAAAACATTCATGAGGGTCAAATTTTATTTCAATGATGAGGGGCACAAATAGCTACGATGAATGAAATGCACTTGTCCAGAAGTAGAGGCTCTTCCCTTCCAGATGACACAGACATAAAAACAGCCAAGGCACAGCTCTCAGCGAGTCTCTGGCTTTTAAGGGCCAACTGAATCTGAATGGAGGTTTGCCCAGCTTAGGTCTCATCAGTGCTTTTGGAGCATTTGTTTCACGTCACTAAGGTGACTAATGGAAAAGCAATTGAAATAACTATAAAAGAACCCAATTCCAAAAAGACACCAAGATGGAAGTTCATAATAATCTGTAGATAAAATAAAACCAATAGGAAAGAGTTACATTTCATTCACAATGGTCACTTCAGACAGAGGAATTAGTGCAATTTTAGAGCTCTTTATATTTTCCCTGTCTACCCATTTCACCCATTATTACTACATTAGTACTGAGACAAGACTAGATGCTTTGGTTAAAGGATGAAATGAAATGTAAACTGCATTAAGAATAATATATTCTTAATGGAAGTCCTGCTGCCAATGATCACTGCTGTTTTGTGAAGAACAGGTCTTTGGGGTTGCCTGTTTTTTAGTTCCTCATTTCCCTCTGGAGAATAAGTTCTTTACTTCTTCAGAAAGGGGATTTACGTTTAGTATAACACACCATACTCTAGTGTGAGTATGACACATCTTGACTGAGTATGACTCTAAGAAAAGAGTCATACTTTCATTTTCTTCCTTAAGCTATACCAATGAATTTTATTTCAGTTTAAGTTAGCCCAAAGTAGTTGTCTCTCTTCCAGAATTTCATACTCTGAGTATCTATGAATACTGTCTGTTTACCTACTTGTACTGCATTCTGCAGAAACAAATGCTCTTAGCTAGCAGTGCATTTTGAGCTGAGAAAAATCATGTGTGACATTGTGGGAGTATCAACTGTGTTATGTTCCATGAGCATGCAGATTATCCTTAGTGAATTTATAATCATTGATGCTTTTTATGGAATTTATTGAAGTAATTTTTTATTCTCTGCACCTCCAGTTATCTTTGTTCGATTTACCATATATTACAAACCGAAATAATTTGTTAACCGATCAACTTTGTACTCTTGGCCCTGTTACTGATGAGGGGATGTGGAGCTCAGGCTGTGCCAACCAGCCCTTTGGTCTGAGTGAGCTTCTGAAGTGCTCTGTATCCGCTTTCTCCCCTGTGGCTGCGGTTCCTCTGCTCTGCCTGCTTTGAGTCACTGAGGGAGACAGAGGTCACAAAGATATTCATTTCTCACAAATGTCATGAAAATCAAAACAAGCAGAAGTGCAAAGAGGCTTGTAGTGTCTGCACAGTGGGAAACAGCAGCCCTTCTCTGCCTGGGGAATGCACACGAGCAGGATGGTCAGTGCTTGGCTGAGGTGCAAGAAGTAAAAACTGTAAAATACCTGACAGAGAGGGCTTTGCTTTCCTGCTGGTGTTTATCAGTGTTTTCTGCAAGGCTTACACAAGCATTTTCGCATTCAAGTACTCTTTAATATTCACGTGTCTCAAGGGGTATTACAACGGTTTGTCAAAAGTTAGCTCTCCACATTAGTCTGGCATCTTTTCATTTTTATCGTGGAAAAAATTAAATTAAAATGTAAACTCGCATCACTCTTTTTTATGCAGTCATATGAAAACTGCCATTCTACATTAAGGCTTTCTAAGCTACCCACATGTACAGGAATGTCCTTCTAACGTACCTTCCTATGGAAATAGGACTGTTGCTGTCTGGTATTAACCACCCTAGCACTTTTTAGAGGTTAATATAGAGCCACCTAAAGAATACGTATTCCTTTGGTTTGTTTTGTTTTCCTCAAGATTACTTACTAATTTACCATATAGTAAGAAAATGGTCCAAAATTTCAGCCAAATATCTTAATTTTATTTCACAACTCCTTGAAAGGCATCCTTGTTGTACTATAGTACATATGCAGTCTCCATAAAGGTATTGAAAAAAAAAAAAAGTGCTCAGAAAAAAAAAAAGAAAAAGAAAAAGAAAAACAAACAAACAAACAAAAACCACAGCAATCAGAAAGGTTGAATGCCAGCAGAGCCAAAATATCTTTTGGTTATTAATGAATAGTTTCCATTTTGGAACATTAAGCAATTTGTTCGCTTACAGTAGAGCAACTCACAAGTGCTTTAATTTATCTTGCTGGCAGGCATCCAGTTCCAGGGTGCAACAGTATATGCTCCAAAATGAGCAGACAGTCTCCATATGGAACATTATTACTTATAAGGATGATTTTTGTATCATTTAGATCACTAATGATGGCTTCCAGTACAGTAATTCCAGAGTGCTGACCCTGTATGACACAGTCTGCCAGGCCTGTGAATCCCATCCAACCGGACTTTGTAAATTAAAGGTAATTTAAAGAGCATAAAGGTTTAATATGGATCATTCATCTCCTCCCTGGCCCTCTCCCTCCTTTTGATGTACTGTGTGTAATAACTGTTTTAGAAGAGGAAAATCTATTTCACAGGTCAGTTGCACAGTCTGATACTTTTCTGTCTTTCACAACCTCTTGTCCATGTGTGTTTTCTTTAAACCACACGTATATATATATATATATATATATATATATATATATTAGAAATGTATGGTATGAATACCTGATAGAGAATGCTTTATGGTGGGCCTTTCTCAGGATGGTTCTTACCAAAGAGCATGGCTGACAACACACATACTTTTTTGCTATAATTTTTAATGGAAGTAAATAACTGTGCAGTCTCCCCTGCCAGGCAGCTTGCCTTCACTGTTGAAGTGCCTCTCCTAGGAAGTTCTTTTACCTCTCCCATGCTGCTTGGCAGGGGTACTGTAACTGTAACGTATATCATTTCTATACCCATTTTCTGCTGTTGCAAGAGGTATACTGTGATACATGTTACACGGTTTTTGTTGTGTGAAAACACCCGTGAGAGAACATAAAACATTCCCGCTTACATTAAATACCGCTAAGTACAAACATATAGTGCTTTGACAGTTTTAAAATCGTAATCAAAAACCTAGTGCTACGTTTTAAACTGCCAGAATGCTAGGAACTGCCTGGAGAATGCTACATCCCTCTGAATGCTATATCCCTCTGATTGGACTTGATGATCCTTAAGGGTCCCTTCCAACTCAGGATATTCTATGATTCTATGATTATTATTAGTGTAGCATCCCCCGTCCCTTAGAAAAGAGCCTTCTTGCTCTTATTTTTAGAGGACTGCATGAGACACCTTTTCTGTTTTTCAGAGGGACTTTAAAAGATACTTTGGGAGGGTGTTGGGTAAGGAATATTTAAGTGTGCTAATCCTGCTTTCCTACTACCCTGAGGCAAGCACAAATGAATAGGAGACCACCAGTCTTCATTCCTATAAAATGAAGATTAATCAGGTATATCTTAACCCATTTGCCTCACTGTTCTCATTAACGCTAATGGGAAAATACAGTTTTCAAAGTTGCACTGATTGCAATAAAGAACCAGTTACCAAAATAAAATGAAAGTTCACATTTTTCAAATAAATCAGTGAATAGAAACTATTGAATATGCCCCAATGAGGGCAAAGTCACTTAAATTTCAAATTAAAATAATTATGTCAGAACCATTTCAATTAAAGCTAGGTGGTTTGCTGATTTGTTGTTTTTTGTTGTTGTTTTTGTTTTGTTTTGTGTTGTTTGTTTTTTTTTTTTTTTCAAGGGCTTTCCTCATTCTTACACTTTAGGAATTCAGAAGTATATACATTTTTAAATATGCTGGTGTTCTCTTTCTATTATAATAATTTCTATCCTACGATGCTTCAAGGGACTATTTGAACTAGGCTTCCAATTGCATCAAACCACATTCTAATTACCCCTATTACAACATTACTTTGTAATACCTAAATTGCTTTCAGAAAAGGTGTTTCAATTAGGGGACAGTTTATGTCAGGCCATTTCACATTTTGTGTTCCACTTTTATGGAGCCCATTCTCTAACACATTATCACATCAGAAAAAGCAGCTTTTTCATCTGAACTTCAAGCCTTTGAAAACAACAATGTAATAAAATCTAATTAACACCCAAATTTTAATGTTGGGGATTTGTCATGTTGGGGCAATTATGAGCTTTTTTTTTTTTTTTTTTTTTTAACTTACTCATTATTCGTAACTATTATTTTAAAATACAAGTTGAGAAAGAAGAAAAGCAGTAAATAGCAAACACAAGGCCAGTAACAGGGCACACACCAGTCTCAGCCCCATCTTTTGGGGCTGGTGGGACCATGTGCTGTGCCAGGCAGGTGGAAGGTCAGGAGCCCATGAATATGTACACTCTGAAGTCAGATGTTTGATTACAGCACAAACAGGTAGATTTGTGCTGCTTTGAGTTTACTTCTTTTACCTACCAGTGCTAGAGAAAGCCAAGCAATCTGATCTTTCTAAGGGGCTGTGCAAACCCTCTAATGGTCATGGGATTTCTTTTCAGATCAATGTGTATTCAAGGGAGGGAAAAGGAAAAATATCTTTGGGCCCTGGTAGCTTCTCCCTCCTGCTATAGCCAGGGCGTTCTGCCAACTTCCGCCCCGTCGCTGTGTTCAGCCATTTCTTTATAATCATCTTGCAGAAGCCTAAACTCTAATGAAGATATTTATTTTGGTTTTACATCATTGCTTTTTCATATTTTTATGAAGAACCTCCAGAAATAATTCATTTACCAGAAAAAGGGTTCCAAAGTCTCAAATAGAGTTTTTTTCAAGTATTTTTTGTTGATCTCATGCAACTCTCTTCTGAGTGTTATCAAATAGTCATCATGTTAGTAGTCACAGCTAGGAATAATGATCACATACAGTACATACTGATAAAATGAAAAAAAAAAAAAATCATACTCTCGTTCATCTATGGCAAGCAGCATCACATGCTGCCTAAGATAAAGGATTTACAGCTACAAGGATCTCACATGGAAACTGGAAAACCTCCATGTCTTGTTTTCTTCGTGTCAGTAGAAAGTACTAGCATTTAAATTGATAATTTATTCCTTCAAAAGATAAGCAAGCTCCTGCTTATCTCCAGAAAATATTAACTGCTAATTTTTTATCTTTCTTACTCTTTCTTACTTCTTTTTTCCTTGCCTCCACCTCCCACCCATTTTTATTTCCTTTTTTGGCAGGAAAATACTTGTAATATAGATGGACTTTGCTATGGTGAAGGAGAGTCAAGCCCTACCAGTCCTTGTCTTCTCTGTGAACCTGATATTTCTAAGTTCACCTGGTCTATTAATGAAAGTAAGACCATTTTTTTTAAGATTTAAAAGCGCTTAGCTGGGAATTTAATACTAAGTCTACGAAATGCACAGTTCATTTAGCTAACATGGGCCTATCCTGAATAGGACTTTATGTGGTGGGAATAACTGGGTGCACAGGAAGTCCAGGCTGATCAGCAGCAGGAAGAAATCCTCTGTGTGCACTAGGCATCTGGACACTTATCTTGTTCTGGGTGAAACCTGATAAATTAGTAATTAATAAAACCAATGTAACACCTGAAAAAAAAAAAAAAAAAGAAATTTTGACATGCCCAATGCAGGGCCCAAGTCTGTCAGCTAAAAGTGATTGACCCTAAAAATCCCTGTGATCATCTCACAGGTACAAATCTTTAAGGGAACAATTTGAGGAAAACACTGTTTTTAAAACACTAATGTATATTTTTGGTATCTTTCCCTGAGCCAAATGCTATGATATGCCACACAAAAGACCTTGGACTGGCAGGGAGTCTAAGTGGTAGGGAACAGCCACTCATTGCCTACACTGCCACGAAACTTAATGGCTCGTTCTTCAGCCCTTCATGGCAGGGATCAGTGGAGAAGGCTGCCTTTTGAAGCACCTCCTGAATGCTAAGGATTTAATCACAGCTTTTTCATGACTGCATCTCCAGTGTAAAAAACCACCACTGCTTAACGTTTGCTTTGCAGATAATCCATAATTCTAGAAATGTTGGTCTCTTGGTGCATCTTCACACTTACATATCTACATCTGCTCGATATAAAGATTATAATAACACTTTTGTGTAGATTCATGTGTTGCTTCTAGAGTTTCTCTGTAATTTTAGGTTCAGTAAGGAGAAGCAATTACAGAGAGGTATGTAAATGAGAGGACATGTTTGATTTGCTTGTTCACAGTTTTATATTCCTGAAGTGACTGAAGGAATTCCTTCCTCTATTTCTTCTGGAAAGAAGAAGATTGATCTTTTCCTTGGGGAGAAACTGGGGATGTTCATGGACAGAGGCTTCTACAGAGTGCAAGGCATGGCAGCAGAAACAACAAAGTGCAACACAGGTGGCCAGAGTCCACAGCTCAATAACCAGGGAGAGAAGTGAGTTGGTACTCCCTTCTCAGAGGTGATAGAAAGGCACTTGAGAAGGACTCAACATGTTCCAGCAATACAAGACAACAATAAGTTATCCAAAATCAAGCTTAGAAGCAGGAACACAATTGGAAGGGAAGGAGCTATTCATGAGCCCTTGAAATTTCTGTTCCAGACTAGCCACTTTGAATTTTCTCTATTTAGAAACACAGAGCTCTTGTTTATGTCCTAAAAAAATCTGGTTTCTATAATTTCCTGTCAATAAAAGGCATAGGGAGATCCATCTCAAGTGTTGTCCAATGAAGAATCCCATTACATGTTACTTGAAAGAGTAGTTAGAATACCTAATGGTAAGCCAGGCCTGAAGAAAATCTTGTGTGCCTGAAAGAAAGCCTTTTTTCCTCCAAAGATACAATTTAGTTTAATGAGAGGCGTTAACTATGACCACACAAATCTTGTGCCTCCATTCTGTCCTTCCACTGTATTGGCCACAGCTATTCTGTCTTCAGGGGTAAGCAGATTATGACTGTCATATAAAATTCTCATTACTGGTACTAAGACATTTTAATATTAAAATTTAGGAAATGGCTTAAAAGGAAAAAAAATCATTTATGTTGGAATTTATAAAACTAGGAGTGATATATGAAATCTGAAACAGATCTTGGTTCACTTTTCAATAATTTAAAAGTCTAAAAATATTGAGAAGGTACTTCTCAAGCTTGTTTTCAAATATATGAGTACATTTTAAAAAGTACTGCAATAACTAGGAGTGTATATATGTTCACTGGATAGCAAGGAGGCCTCTGTGGAATTAAAAACACTCTTGTTCACAGACTGCCTTCAGAATATCTGATATTATCTTATTTCATGGTCTACAACATCTTGTAACCCTCCATCCAGTTAACACCTTTGTGTTTATCTCTAAATGCATACCAGCATCAATATTTCATTCATTACTTTGGGCACAACTTTTATGGGCTCCATGGTTTGAGTGTTTCTGAAGTAAAAGGTAAATTAATGGATGGAAGCTTTCAACAGTTTTGCCAGGACAATCTGCTGGCCAAGCAGTTTAGAAAGCTCTGATAGCACAGCAGCAGTGAGTGCAGAGGCATTTAAATAATTGCATAATGTGAGACATGCTACAGAAAGCAGAACTTGATAAAAGGATATGCACACACAAAGAATCCCTGACTGATGACTTCCCACAAGCATTATGCAAAGACACATGCTGTCTTTGTGAGAACACACGTATAGCTCATAGTTTTAGAGTGTGACTTGAAATTAATCCTCAGTATTAGAGATGTTCTCTAAGTTAAAAACAACTATGCACAAGCTGCATTGTGAGAAGATTCCTTTAAATATCAATATACATCAATTTGTACTGCTGGTTAGAAAGAAAAGATGGCTTGAGACTGAGGAGGTTTAGGACACTGAGACAAAATTCCCAGCCCTGCACAGTGCTGCTGTCACCTCAGGGTATTCATCTGATCTTCCTTTTCCTTGGTTTCCAATATTAAAATATAATACTTTTCTCTACCTTGTCTTCCTTACATATTTATATTGGACATATCTTCAGGCAGCATTTGTCTTTTACTTTAAAATAGCCCAGTATAATTAGGCTTTTATCTTCATTAAGGAAAGACTGAACGTAAACATCACTAAAAATAACAATGCCAATGATGACATGATATGCACTACTGTCTCTAGGGATAGAGAATTTCAGTATCACTGATGTGTCTCTCCCAGCACCGAGAAGATCTTTATTCCAGAAATGTCCAACTGAATTCAATCACATTGCTCAGGCTTAATTACCACTCATGTGTAAAGGCAGTAGAAAGAATCTACTCAACAGAAGAGTTACACAACTTCCTCACCCCTGCCCCATCCTCCCGAAGTTGTACACCCTATTTTTCATTCATCATTTTGAGAATTAGTTTGCTTATATTTAGGTAGGTTGATAGATAGATAAATAGATAGATAGAATAAATAATATATACATGTATTAGAGATAAAATTGTTTTAGTAAGAACTGAGGGAGTTGGATCAGTGGGAGGTTATAAAAGTCTTGTCCAATCTCCTCCCATGTATCAGATAGACATCAAAAGTAATCCAAAGTTCAGTATGGAATGTGAGAAAAATAGAAGTAAAAAAGTATACTATTTGGCAAAGCCATTTGCTGCCTCTAACATCCACATTGTTTCCTCCATCAGTCTCAGGATGCTTTCTCCGCCCTCGTGACTGAGAGCACCCCTAAGAAGACCCACAGTCTGAATCTTCACATGGGAGAAACAGGAATTTATGTAATCATGGTTTCATTTTTTGCTGTTTAGACAACCTGCCTCCTGTGTTCCAGACCCCCTCCAGTCAGCTGCTGACATTTATTGGTGAGAATTTTGTTTACCAGTTAATAGCAGTGGATCCGGAAGGGTCAGCTGTGCTATTCATCCTAGAGGCTGGGCCGCAGGATGCCAGGCTCTCTCCTGCTGGCCTTCTTATCTGGAAAGTGGATTCAGAAGACAGGCAGACCTTTGAATTCACGGTGTCGGATGAATGCAATGCACAGAGCAGATACTCTATTGAGGTAAGGAAATGAATGCTTTAAAAGGAAAACAAAACAACCCTGTTTATCATGTCATCACTTTGGTGCAATTGTCATTATAGCTAATAATTTGTTACTGTCTTAAAAACTCAGACTTCAGCTATTTCCTCATAAGGGTATATTATCCAGCATAGCAATAATGATCAATTAATGGAATAAATATATCTGAGAACATAGAAACTACATATACAATGAACAAGAGAGAGTGCTATTGATTGCTGTTTGAAAGAACTCTCTTGCAGAGCCTGTTAATGGTTCATTAATCTGCTTTAAAATTCACATTCTGCATTTGGATTGCAGAAGAACAAAAAAAAAAAAAAAAAAAAGCATATAACATAAAAGACCAAGTTTTAGCTATAAAAGGGAGATTATAACTCACTCTCAATGATATTTTTAGAGGGTGTCTTGCTCTTATGTCATTACTCCACACTTTAAGTTTCTTGGCAGAGCTTGTGCATTGCTTTGTCTTTATTGTGTAGCCTAGCATTAATCCCATGATAGGATGAGCTAATAAAGTGGGATGCAGACTCTTGCCACAAGAGCAGTTTTGTGAAGAAAAGGATTTTTTCCTAAAGATTCCAATTTTTACTCATTCAAACCACTGTCATCAAAAATACCAGTCTGCCGAACACACACAGCAAAGGGGAAACATTTCAAACTAGATCTGTGCTTAACTAGATGAGATAGTGCAAAGGTTCAAATCTATTGAAATGCTGTTCTCATCAATATATAACATGACCTGGACCTCTCTTCCTTGCAATAGAGACTGGCTAAAGAATGCCACAATCCTGTTCCTGCCTGGGAGACATTTGTAATGTAAAACAGTAAGGAAGGTACGTGGGCAGGCAAAGAGAAAAGATTTTTTTTTTTTCAGTTCTTCTTTGAAGAATGAGGAACGAATCCTGCCCTCAGATATCGTGTAAAAACTGCTGTTATAGCAAATAGGACTTTTTTTTCTTGTAAGAAATTAGAATGTGCCCTTAAGTGATGAAGAAAAATCCCTTTAATGTCATGCTTTCAGCCAAATAAATAAGTATGCTGAGTATGAGACCATCTATCCAGACAAAGGAAATTGGTTAGAAATAAGTCCCCATAATACCAGAAAATGTGTTTGCACTGCAAATCCATCCCTTCCTGAAGGGTACCAATACACCTCTCAGTGGTGATTATTTGGAAGATCATTATCACAATTCCCTTTTGCCTTCCTCAGGTTCGAGTGAAGCCCTGCAGCTGCCTCAATGGTGGAACGTGTGTTACCAATATTAAATTCCCTCCAGGCCTTGGCGAATATCTCTGCTTATGTCCAAATGGTTTTGATGGGGAGTTTTGCCAGGAAGATATTAATGAATGCAAGTCAAACCCATGCGGCAGCGGAACGTGTGTGGACAGTGTGGACCGCTACATCTGTAAATGTCCCCCTGGTTTGGGAGGTAAGGCGTCACTGTTCCCATCTCTGATTTAACTAGAGACATGTTGCATTTCAGGGTATTTTGTGGTTGCATGCACAACCACAACAATCTGTCAAATGGACTGCATTTGCTTCCTCTTCTGCTCCCATGACTCAGCTGTAGACAGATAGAAAGTGTGTAAAGGCAGCTATCTAATTACCCATGCTCAAGGAAAGAGAAAAGACCTAAAGGTCTGTAGTTATGAAATGACCATTCAAGGAGGCTGTGAATCACTCTGATCTCAGCTTCCACTGGCTTATTTCCCAGCTGTCCGTCTGTGAGAAGAGCCAGAGGAAGACTGAGTGGAAGAGGGAAAAGGTGAGGATCCAGGACCCTCTCACACTCCTAAGGATTATAGTAAATGAAGCCAATGAAAGAACTCTGAATGAATTTATTTATTTATTAGGTCTATGAAGAAGTAGATATGCAAAACATGCAGAAATAAATTCATTTAGTCCTAGTTGAAATTTCCTCAAGTTTAAGCCTTAGAAAACTGCAAGACCATTGGGTTGTCAGACAGGTAGAACAAAAGCTAATCTTTTAAGCTGTTCAGGGCTGAACAAAATAGGTTTTTAAGAGATGCAGGGAAGAGCAATGATCAGTACCCCCCAAAAGAAAAATCTTAGAAAGGCAGAATGTAAAGCATGAAGAGGAGAAGTGGAAGAATTAAATGCAGTGAAGACAAAAGAGGTGGATGCAAGACATATGGTACAAACAGGAATAGAGAGAGTGAAAACCTGACATGTCAGGAGGAAGAGAAGCATCTAATAGATGATGGAGGTGAGGAGAGAACATGTTGGTACCTGTCATGCCATTTATATTGTCAGTTTTGGTGCATTTGGAACATCTGTGAATGATTCCCACGCAGTAGAAAACACTTGTGACAGCACGTGGGGATGACTCCCCTGTGCTCTGCAGGCTGGAGCCAGCCACTCGAGGTTCTGCTGCTTGAAGCTTCTGGCATTTGGCTGTGCTGAGTCACTGCTGGGTCTCGTAGAGCATCCAGCACCTCCTCCAAGCCAGGACCCACACTCCAGCTGCTCAGAGCATGACTCACTGCCAACACAACAGATTTTCATTTGGCCCAAGCATGCCTTCTCCTGTAATTTCACTGAAATTGTGGCCTTTTCATTTGCAGTGTAGCCTTTCTGGAGGTACAAGGCAATACTGAACATACAGGTTTTGGCCAGCATTTTTAAACTTGGCCCTTGCTTAACTTTGCAGACAAAGGGCTGCTAACATGGGTGCTGTTTAAAACAGCCAGTCACTCACCTGGGTCACTAAGCAGTCATTGGAATGTGAATACTTTTTGTTAATATCCAGTCATGTCAGTGTTAAATTAGCCTCTCAAAAGTGAAGGGTACTAACTGAAACTGTGTTAAAATGTCTCTTGGATCAACACTGTTTCAAAAGAAATGAAAAAAAAAAAAAATCAACCTTAAGCTGAACTCAGCTTTCAGTACTCGAATGTGTCAAAAAAAAAAAAAAAAAAAACTACTCTGCTCACATATGAAAGCATGAACAGATTCATGATACCTATAATGTTGGCTGCTGTACAGTGCCATAGCTTTGAAAATACCAAGTAAAGGTAACATCAAAGGCACAGGGTCTATAATCAAAAACCTCTATTTTAAACAAAAACAGATAGATTTGCCTCAGTGGGCTTATACAGGCAGAAAGGTACCCCTTCTCTTTCAGCAGGTCATGGCACTTTCACTGTTTTAGTCATATGGGATTGCAAGTCCAGATTTCGTTACCTATAAAATTCCACTGGAAATAAAAAATAATAATTCAGAGTTGAGAGTTCAGAAAATGGCCTGAAAGATCCACATAATACCTAGATGGTTGATCTTGTTGATCTAGTCAATCTGGTAGCGACTCCAGGTAATGCTATAGCACAGCCAAAGCCTGCTGCTCTCTGAAGGGTTTATGCTGGAAAAGACTACTCGTAGAGGGGGACACAGACCTAAGAACAACATTAAAAAATGAAATTTTGATCAAAATATAAAAGTCCCCAAACAAATTAGCACATGTAGAATGGCATGGTGCTGAATTCTGCTGTAAATGTTACTATGAGCACAGGGAAATTTAGCATCATTTTTGGCTAGATTTGGCTAAACACCTTAAAAATACCATGAGGACCAATTCTTCATTGCCTTCAATGAGGTGGATTAACTGAATAAATGCAATATAATTCCATGAGTTAATGATGTCAGTGTATCTGCTCCCATTGTTTGATCTTCTCCACCAGTTTCACACCACTGCCTTTACTCACTTTATGTGGTATTGCACATAAACGGAGTGAAATCAAGCTCTATTATTCCACTTAAAATAGTCTGCCATAATTGCAATGCATTGTTTATAAATTCACGTGAATTGTATTCTGAAAAGTGGTTTTCATTCTTTTATTTCTATAGTGAAATATCCAACACTTCAAAATAGCATGTTTGAAAATAACATACAGGCAGCTCTGAAAACAAGGACACAGGACACCTTGATGGCCAGAGAAACACTCAGTTTTCTGGAACCCTTAAGTCCTGTCAGTTGAAATGAATGTGTTGCTTTTGTTGTACTTCCCTGGCCCAAAAAGCTAAAACAGAAGCAATAGCAAAATACAAATATAATTGAGTGAAACAGGAATACAACTCAAAATTTTAATAGCAGGTAAGAAATTATATGCAAGTGGAGCTGAAAGCCAGCTGGGAAATAGATGATTTTACTTCAGGGCAGGTTCTGTGACAACAATAAAAGCTCATCCTTGATGCTGTGTTTATGTCTCAATTCCCCAGAAAACCATCAATAATCTAATGAGAAGGCAATGCTATACTGCTCAAGTGACAGCACCATTTCACCATCAAATCTTTACAAATGATAGGGAACAGGTAGTAGAAAGAAAATGTTTAACTCTTTTGAGAGCTTCCCAAACATCACTGCAAGAGACGAAGGATAAGGAACGAAGTGCCTTGCTAAATGGTAGCAATTAAAGTGCATCTGTGTATCTCAGGCAAAGTAAGTGCATAATTTAAGAACGATAACAAGGCAGGAGAGAAGCCAAAGGAAAATCTGAGAGGAGGATAACTCCAGAATTATTAATACTTTGAATTTCTGCAGAGACTTATACATGCTTATCTCGTTGTGTGTTCAAAGCACATTCATTTACCTTCACCCTTCACCGGTGGTAAAAATAATTCCTATTGTTTCTTCCCTGGGCTACTGAAAGCAAGAATATCATCTGCTTGAGAACAGAAACCCTGCTTGGAAAAATTAAAAAAAAAAAAAGTATCTAAATCTCTAAATCAGAAAACCGTTTTTTCCTTATGTATCCAGTTATTAATATATAAAGGGGAGGGAGGGGGGATGGAAGAAGCTATAATTTCATTTTATTTTTCAGGCATCTGAAAAAAAAATTGTTCGTGTTGTATAATAACCATAGAATTCATCAATGAGATTGCTTCGTCATTTAGAATCAACATAACATGAACACAGTCAAAAAGACTCTCTCTGCATCTGTAGGTGGTCTGCTCTTCTCGGGGTATAAAAGGACTTCATCTTCTCAACCAACATCTCATGCAGAGATGGAGAAATAGAGGTGGCATGGAAACAGATGTTTCAACCTTGCAACCTGAGGATCTTTTATTCCTAATATTTTTATTTGTATGGTAACAGTGCCAACAGAATTGAGACTCTCTTGTGTTGCAGTGCACTGGAGGTCATGCAAGCATAATAACTGACATTTCTTGTTGCAGACAGTTTTCTGTCCATTTCTACTGATTCTTTAGCAACCTTCAGTCAAAATTCAGACTTTCTAAATATTTGTCATCAGACTCTGTGGGATTAACATTATGCCAAGATTGATCAGATATTGTTTAAAATCAAATCTGTTTGAGTCAAAGTGCTTGCATAGTTCCACCTTTAAGTTACGAAATTCAGTCAAGTGGGTTTTAAAATTAAGCTTGCTATTTATGTTTTTCCTTGGCTTTTTGTAATTCTCTCATCTTTGAGATTTTTAAGTCAGAATTTGCAAAACAGACTATATAGAAGGGAGGAGAAGGGACTGAGCAGGAAGAAGTTTTTGTTTCTCAAAACTGTGAAATTCATTCCTATTTTGATTGTCTGTAGTATCATGTTTAGTCTTTAAACTTTACCCAGTGAAAGAAAATAATCACTAGTCTAATCAGTAATCCAAAATATAACAATGGAGGGAAAAAAGTAAATTAATACCTGCAACACCAGGTGATGTCCAATTTAAATGAAACACGGAAAGCTTTCCTAGAGCAAGAAACATGCAAAACCAGAACAATCTAGATACAAATGGCACCAGAAAAGGGACATGCCTTTTGTTCTGCTTTTCCTTTTTTTTTTTTTTTTCTCTCTTCCCTCCCCCCCAAGACAAAGCAGCCATGAGTCAGTAGCATCTTGAGACAGCTCAATCAAGAGAGACTTCAATTAGATTTTCTTACATGAAGATACTATTTTAACTTGAAAGGAGCTGTGGAAGCTATCTGAAATGCTGAAGCAATGAGAGATTATGTTGTAGAAGATGAATAATGATGTTCTGTTCTTATCATTCTGTAATTCATTCCTCTGTGACAAAATTCTCTTTTGAAGAAAAAATATTCTTTTATCCTTAAATCTTCTGCCATGATAGAGCTGAACAGCTAATATGGAATATGCCATTCTGTACCTTATGGTATGTCATGAAACAGGTACTTGGACTATTCAGACAGCATCCCAGTCTGCTTGGGTATTCCTACAGTTAACAAAGGGCATGCCTTAACAGAAATTATATGGGATAGTTTAAGACTGGACTGTCAGGACTGAATATTCTGGTAACCAACAATAGCCAAGCAAGTTTTCTCAAGTACACAGAGAGCATCATGCATATCTGAAGCCAGAGGGAGTTTTTAAGCAGCACTGTATATGCTTATTCTGTATCATTTAATGTTCAGACACTCATTTTAGCTTTTGGGTCAGCTTCCCCTGCAGGTACCCATTAAATCATTCGGTGTTGTGAATTTGAATATCAGTTACATCAAGGGATTTTTTAAATGCCTATTTCCAAAATCAGCAATAGCCGAGATCCATTGTTTTGGATTCAGATCGTACAGCAGCTTATCTTCTGAACACCAGCACTGTGGCTTAGAGACAATTTCAGAGAGTTTCTTCAAATTTTAAATAGAAAAACCTTTAGTTTTTTTGTTTGTTGTATTTTTTTATTTTTATTTTTTTAAGAATTTCATCACTTTGTCTGATTTACCTTTAGCCAAACTGTGCTGTTGTACAATAAGCTGTTAATAGTGTGAGGTTCACATAGAAATGAAGAGTGTAATATGTCAGTACATGGCATATCCTAAAGTCAAAGTGGTGAGACTGGCTTCTTCAGTGTATGACAAAGATCTCACATAAACATGACAACAAAAGCAGCAGCAAAGGTGTGAAATGTAGGGGCAATCATTTATTTAATATGCATACTTTTCTAGGAGCAGTAGTCTCAGGTTCAGCACTTCTGGTGCCAATAACAACAGTAATAAACAGTGTGATAAAAGCAGGTTTAAGTGAGACAGTGGGGAATTTGGCACTATGTGAGTCATGTACCTTGTAATGAGTTTACAGCTGAGAAGTAAGCCTTAGTCTGCTTGAACATTTGAGCTGAGGAATAAACAGGGAATCTTTCCCAATTATTAACCTCCACTTTGTTTTGCCACAGGGCTTACTTGTCAGGAGGACAGGAATGAATGTGAAGAGAGTCTTTGTTTTCCTGGAGTGTCTTGTATGAATACCTTTGGATCATATATATGTGGAATTTGCCCCAGTGGGATGGAGGGAAATGGTAAAACTTGCAAACGTAAGTGCTTGATTTGTTTTAATAGAAGGGTAAATATGAGTCCACTTCTACTACGATTATCCTTAATCAAGTACTTTGCCACTTGCTTCAAGGACAGACCTCTAAATATATAAACCAGACTATTGTCATGTTATATTAATATGGATAATTGCAAATTGGTCTCAGTTTTCAATTTTTCACTGCAGTTTAGTTTCAGTTTGATTAGAACGAACACCATAGCATACAAAAGAAAAAAAAAAAAAAAAAAAAAAAAAGGATTTTCAAGATGCCAGCTAGATAGTTTGCCAAGGACATTCCCCAAGTTCTCCACTGTTTCACTCCTAAATATATCATCTACTAACAAGTACTCAGGGAGCACCTCCAGGATTACTCCTGTTCTGAGTGAATGCAGGAAGGATATAAAGTAGGAGAAAGAAGGTTTCAGATAGTTTCATGACACGAAGGAGTCCATAGCTGCTGAGCTCACATTTGGCATAAAGTCATGCCACAGTTCCCAACTAGCAAAAGTCCAGGAACAATTTTATACCTGCTCAGTATTTGTTGTTGGGGCAGTCCTCAGCAAATTCTTTAGTAGGGGGCTGCACTGACTTTGTACCATGCTGAGACCTTTCCATCACAATGGGATGTGACCTAGTCTGCTTTTTTTCAGTCACACACACACAGGTCTTCTCCAGAAATAACATTTGGTGGGCAAGGAGGAGAAAACTCAACATTTGATGTATTTTGCATTTATTTGTTAGGGTAAAATAGAAAAAAAAAAAAAAAAAAAGATTAAAAAAAAGCTGTAATTGCAGGATCCTGGCATCAGCAGGATTGCTCTTGGTGGGTTTACCAAATATACCTTTAATGATATTGCCTAATGTCTGTATATAAATGTTTTCTTTATGTATTGTTTGGCCATAATGATCATTTCAATGTGATTTTATGTCTGTCTCACCAATGTGTAGGTAATTTGACTAATGAATCAATGACTAATGAGCATATACAAAATTATGCACTTTTTCCAAATACATCAGAATCATAATTTCTTCCTATGCATTTTTAATTACAAAGATATTTCTAAAATGCACATTTATTAGAACAAGTAAACATGAGGTCTTCCTTGCCTACCCAAAACAGGATAGAAATCATCCTTCATGTGTGTAACATACAGACTGCAATATGTCCACGCATGCTTCCCTTGCTGAAGCAAGTGTAAAGGCTTGCCAGAGGAAAGAAAAGAAAACTGAAGTAATTTTATAACTGCTACAGTGCTATAAATTATGTAGAAATTAGTATTTTCAAAATTTTTCAGCATTCAGCTTTCTTATTTACATCCATATATAATTAGTGCAAATATCTTGAAGAGTAAAAAGTTTGCAGCTGAACTAACCAAAGCTAACAAACACACACAATATAGTTTCAGGCAGAAGCTTTTGAGGATAGTCAGGCCGACCTCAGGTCCCAGGGATTAGCATAGCATCTTCATCCAAGTAACAATGCTGCATAATGCATAGGGACCTGAGGCCTCCTTACTGCCCTTAGCTCAATAAAAGATCACTGTGCATAATAAGTATATCTCTCAGATAAGCAAGGTTTAGTGAATTTGTGTACTGTAATTTTTCCTATGCTCATACAGAAGCTTTACTGTATGTCAGCAGCTGACTCACCTGATTTGCCTTTATTTGCTTGATGGTTGGCTCCCAGAACAAACTTCTGTCAAGTTATCTGATTTGTTGTTACTGCTGCTTTTTATCATCAATCACAGTTAAGCTCTTAAAACCTTGTTTCCTCATCTCCATGCTTTCTTTTTACAGCTGTGCTTGCTGCTGACATTACACAGGTTTTAGTCATTGACAACAGCAATGGCAAAGGTGACTTGAACAAGACTAAGGTCGAGTGGCCACTGCAACCCTTAGAGGCAAAAAACTCTCCTGTAATTAAGAATTTTAACAGAAGTGATACACATGGTAGGTATACAAGGATATGAAATATTTATGGGGTGTTGCATATTCAGAAATCATGCATTTTACCATTTTAATAGCAAACATAAACTGTTTATAATGCATCACAGAAAGATGGAGTTAAAAATCAAAATCTCCTCAATAAATCAGACTGCAGGTTGCTGCTAATCGATTTTGCAAGGGGAAAGAGCCCTTAGCAATCAGAGTGGTCAAGCTTAAGTAGAATTCACGTCACTTTTGAGATAGAACGAAATCATTCAAAATCTTAGTGATCAATGGAAAGCAAGACAATAAGAATGACAACTTACACAAACTTGCCATAGCCAAGCGATGCTGAATTTTATTCCTGCTTTTGACTGACAGTCAGTGCATTAAGACCAAGCTTTGAGCATAAATGAAGTATTGACACAACTTCAGCAGGTGCTTTCCCCAGAATATTTGTGCCTGCATTCAGTGCTACAGGACCCTGAGCAGTGCAACAACCTCTCAGAGGTGTGTGTATCTGCACATTGCTTATGTTGACCCACTTCTAATCAGTATTTCAGTTTTGTACTGAAGTTGTTGGATTTTTTTCAGTTTTGTCCTGAAGTTTTTGTACAGACACCATACAGATACTATACAGATATACAAAGGTTTTTATACTTTTGTATATCTGTACTAGGCCATCCAACAGCTAACCAGAACGTACCTCAAACAGGTGATTTGTCATAATGTCATAGGCAAGGTGCAAAGATAATGCTGAAATACTTGAGAATCATGATAGAGACCTCACTGGAGGCAATTAAAAAAGATCTACAACCATCATTTAGATTTTATTCATCATCTGTTCTCTGTCGACACTATTAAACACTTCACAGGGAGTTCATTATTCAGTGACATCATAAGTGATAAAATACTATATAGTACCAGAGTGTTTAATTTTTCATATATTCTAAGATAATTAAAATAGTCTCTTGTCATACAAGGTTCAACAAGTTGAGGATTTCTAGATCAGAAACATATGCACTTGACTGTGAATTTTTAAAAGTATATGTGCTGAAAGGTTTGATGATTACTTTCCAATTATAGAAGACCAGAAGGATGTCAGAATAATACTATTTCTTACTCAGATAATCTCTCGCTTATGCTGAAAATTACAGTTTCTATATTATCTTTGAAAAATGCCAAAGAACCTTGAGTAATAAACTTGAAAACATGTAATTAGAGGACTAATAAATCTTACTTTAATGAGAAACAGCTGTTCTGTTATGCCATGCCTACAGGACATTCTCATGTTTGGCACAAGGTTTGGGAACATTCTGCATCAATTATTCTTCAAAAGAATAAAAGCAGTTATAAAACTTTAGCCAGGCTTTGACGGTCACACTTAATTTTATATATTCATTTCATTTGAGAAATTATAAATAAATGTGCTTGAACTTCCTTTTGCCCTAGGTCATGCAGCGCCTCTGTCCCATGTTACTACCTGTGCCAATAGGCCGTGTTTTCCTGGAGTATTGTGTTTTGATCGGAAACCCCCTTACATTGGATATGTCTGTGGCCGATGTCCACCAGGATTTTTTGGAAATGGTCGAATCTGTAGCAAGGTCCCCAGACCAGGTACTTACTCATTTTTGGAATTTTTAAAAAAAGTTTTGCACACAAAGGCTGTAAGCAGATATGAACTAGTATGTCATTACACTACAATGTGCTTTATAGTCAAACCCTGAAGCCTTTTTTCTGACTGTGAACACTCTTACCTGACAAGCAGCTAGCAGGTCTTATTTCAGGAATCTCTGTCTCTCAAGAATGAGATTCACCTTCTCATTTGCCACTAGGGAGAATTCTTCGCTACGGAACTTACTAGATGGTATGAATCACCACATCTGTGTTTCTGCCACAGCACTGGCATATGATTTCAAAACATGTTTCCTCTTCAGTAAGATGGGAACATGACACATGACAGTACCACTCTGTTTTCCTTTTCTCCTAATTCTTTTGCTGCAAGGCATCTGTTCTCCAAGGTGACCTGTGAAGATGACGATAAACAAAGTGCCATGTACGAACAACTCTACCAACAACTGAACACAATGGATAATTAAAACATTTAAATAGTATCCTTCGTAGCCTGAGCAGCATTCTTCCTTCGGGAGTTCTGAAACTCAGACGGTCCCATTAATCTCTGAGGACTGATCATTAGAAGAGGTCTTCTGCTGCGATAAAAGAAAGGCTGGGTCCTGACCTCAGGCAGAAAATGGCAATAGCATAGCAACCACTCATCAGTCATCCAATCTTGCATTCTCTCAGTGAAATTCTCATAATTCAATGCATAGTTCTCTAGGGACAGTCTGGATGGTTGTCCCATTTTCACTGCACAGAGCGATTTGCCAAGAGAACTGATGTTTACTCCTTAATAAGAGTAGTTATTAGGTCAGGTTCCGTGGTTTCCCTCTAAATCTTTTTCTTAAGCATTCAAGACAGACTCACTGAAAACCCATCAAATTGTTCCCCAGCTTCCTACACTGACGAACCTACCTTCATTACCCATTCTGTATCCAAATCAATGGCTGTTGCCTTAGTGTTATATTTTAATGCACACTATTAAAGCAGAACTGATTTCACTGGTTAGAGTAGGTATTGTCCAGACTTTTTGAACTACAAATTGATTTGAGCTAGTTCTCAAAATCTAAAGGTCACAAAAAATAAAACTAACATTTTTCTTCCTCTGACTAGCAATGAGTATGTACAATGTATTAGTTTGTCAGAGTCACAAAGTCAGCTATTGACTGTTCTATAACTTGGTAAGCTGTAAAAGCAGTTGAGCAAAAAAATATAAATCACAGTGCATATAAATAAATGAACATTTCTGTTATTGCCCAAAGCTGCACCTTGTCATTAATGGGATAACGGGATATACATTGTATACCCAAAGGTCATTTAAATGTTGTTGAGTAGAACAGATATTCTACAGATATAGATATTGGTATAGTAAATCAGACACACACGGTACTTATATAAACATTAACCAATAAATTTGTGCATGTTCTAAAAAGGAAACACAGTCAGTAGTTGCCATTTACTGTGATTTATTCCTGTCATATACAGCTCCAGGCAAGACTTAAGAAATACCCCAAGTACAATGATCTGAAACAAATACACACTTCTTTCAAAAGGGAGCTGGATATCAGAGGCTGTGAAGTTCCTCTTTTTCCTCTTGAATATGTAAACTAAATCAAGGACTTCGTGCTACTAATACAGCCATGCAACCTGTGGAGGGGTGAAAAGGATTTTTTTTTGTTCCATAAGAGCCTTATATTCACTCATGTGAATTATATCATAATATAAACAATGATAATCTTTATCTCTCTTCTCAGTCTTAAAAATAGTTGTCATTTGTCAGGACTTCAGGAACTGTAATTGCCTTATTTTCTATCTTTCTTGCCTTATGCAAGATGTCTGTATGGGCAAGATCAGCCTTTAAAATAATCATGCGCCTCAAGGTTAAATGAGAATAGTCATTCATTTTCATATTTAGAAATGAAAGTAATTGCTGCAGCTGTATGAGAGTCCTAATTTATAACCAAAATGATCGGTTTAACTCTCTTTCACGTGTGCTTTGCTAGTTCAAGCAGAAATATTGTATAACATTGATGATTAAAAGATATCAGACAAAAAGGAATGAACTTTCAATTAATTTTATGTACAGTTCTGGATTATGAATATTGTGAAATCCTCCCTGTTAGAATAATAGCTTCTCTCCCTTGTAACTTATGCTATCAGTCTTCAAACAAAACAGAACAAATCCTCTTCAGCTTGTTACAGTGCTTGTTAAGGCATTGAGATTACATACTAACTTCAATGTAAAAATTCTCTTGTTAATTCCCTTTTTGTACTTTATTGGCTGTTTTTGACATGAAGTTGTACTCAGTTGTTACTATTTAATGATTAAGGTATGTGTGTTTTCATACAGAAATCATAAAAATTACCCAACTGCCCTTTGTAGACTATAGACGAGAAAAAAAAAAATGCCATAAGAAATTTCTTTCCTAAGTCCCTGTTTGATGAGAATATGCACCAAAAGTCCTTGATATGTGATAGGTTTTAATCTTTTGATATACTTGGCATACTGCAAATTATATAAATTCCAGAAATAAGTTTCTAAGCTCCATTTGCCTGCTCTGCCAATAGTGCAGGGCCTCATTTTCTTCTCACTTACATGTTTTACCTACTTTATATCAGGTTTCTGTATCAGTTTAAATCAACCAGACTTCATTGAAATTATTTGTGAGGTACATCTGATTAGTCTTAAGGTGATGTTACTGGAAACATCACCAGTACCAAAGCCTGTGTGGACTTTCATACATAAAGGGAAATGTCTAATTTTAAAAATGCATTCTCATATATACTGTTTTCAGGTAAGCCAAATAAAGTAAGCATTTCTCTCCCTTCAAAGTCCATAAAGCAGGTAGCCTACACTTAAAAAAAGTAATAATTAAAAAAAAAAAGTAGCATCAACAGTGCCTTAATTTTTCTAGTAGACAATAAGGAAGAAAGTCTAAGCAACTCAAATCTGCTCAAGCTTCACTGGTCATGCTTCATATTTGTATAAAATATCTGTTACCTTTTTGTTGGAAGAGCCACATCTACTAAATCAAACCATGCAGTATCATAGGTTATATTCTTGGCATAAAGATAATGAATATATCTTAATGGGGGATGCTGGTGATGTGACTGCACATTGCAATATTAGTTATCATATGCTACTGGTATTTCTCTAGGCTGGTTTCATCACTCACGGTCTCAGAGATACCCATCTGTTTGCACTTTCTTTTGCAGGTTAGAGAGGTAGGTGTCATCACAAAAGATTTATTTTTTTTTCCTATTAGTAAACCAGCAATTTTACTGGACAAAGCAGTGCCACATCCATCACCAATAAAAGATTGTTCAGAGCCAGCTTGTTCTGCCTCTTCTGGTTTAGGGAACTGAAGATCAGGGGAGAGGATTATTTTATGATCTCTGTAATCGAGTTCTGCTCTTTCCATTCTGAACTGCTAGCACTCCTGCCCTAGCAGTTAATTTGCAGTACAGTAGACATTTGGCACTTGATATACGTGTGGATTTGCCATTTGTTATGTTTATGTACTGCATTTTACACTATTCCAGTACCTGCAGCATGCTTCTGAACTCACTTTGATTTCACATCAGAGAGACCTCTGTGACCTTCTCATTTGCACTACTGTCAGATCTACATCAAGGTGTGGATTTAAAAACTACATGAAATATTTTGAATTACAAGGATGGTGTGTTTGAATACATAGTGTTCCTGAAGAGCACTAACGCCAGAAGAAGATACTATTATCAACTTTTATATTAACTTTTGACCTTGAGATTACTGCTGTTATTATTAGCACTCATCATCGATCACTGTCCATGAAGAATAAATAACTCCTGAAAAACAAGACAGTAAGTGCTTCGGTCACCAACCCAAGGTTTCAGCTTTGGAGCTAACTCCAGAAGTGGAGACCTCTTGCTGCCTGGAACCAATTAAATGATTTTTCTTCAAAAAGTGACTGGTGAACATAGTTGAACCCTTTCATCAAACAGAATTGATGAATTTGCATTAAAAAGATCAAGGCCCAGATTCCAGTCTCGTTTACACCAGTGTAAATCAGAAGCGATCCCATTAAATGAAGAGCACTGCCCTAACAGCATGAGCTGAGCATTGTTCCTGGAAGGCAGGCTGAAAAGTATTGAAAAGTAGGCACATCACAGGCTGAAACTTCATCTACAAAATCTGTATGTATTGGCAGGTATAGACAGAACACACACACTTCCCAGCACTCAGAGGATGCTTTGTGATGAGGAACCAACCAGCCATGACACTGTTTATGCAATGAGTTACGAGGCTCAATTGAAGGCAGGAATCTTTGATGCTGCAGTCATTAGCTGCAAAGTTAACTGAGGTCCTTGCAGAGAAGACCTAACAGAAATACAAAATAAGTGGTAAATATTACTTTGGTCTGTCTCTGTGTGGTAACAGCTCTCAGTGGCTGATTCTTGTGGGCTCAGAAACTGGGAAGCATTGCTTCCCAAGGCCAGGGCTTCCAGCTCCTAGTGCTGACTCAGGCCATTGAAACTGGCCACAATTCATCTTTGGAATTTGTGTTGGAAGTTGCTGATCCCTTTCCTAAGCTATGTTTCAGCATTTCTATTTTTTAGTATTTCAGGCCAAAATGTACATTTTTGCAAACTGACCAGTTATGTTGTGATGACATCTCCTTCAAGGGCATTTGATGAAAAGGCAGCTGAAGTGTGGTTAGAAATGACACACAAAGACATTTCATACAAATCTGGATTCATGAAAAACATATTTTTGCAAATGGTATGCCAGTAATCTTCACAAGGCCAGGATCACCCAGGCATTTTGGACATAATCTATGACACTTCCCTGCCCTCTGAGTACGTAATTGCCTCCAAAACCCCACTCCTGTACTTGTCAGGCTAGAAAGGGAATCAGAGAGCCTTTCTGATGGTTCTGGCCTCCGTAGGGATACCTAATAAAATATTAAGTATTTTCAGAGAAACCTCAACAGTGGCCTGCACAGTATGTGCTATGACCC